GGCAGTAAAGGATTGGGCACTGGACAAGGCTAAACAGGTTTCCTATTAGATTAGCAGCAGTTTGGGTCATACACACATCATGTTCAACACAGAGCTGTGCCACCAACGGAAGCATAATCCAGACTACAGTCTCAGTGTCTGTAGAGGGCTGGGTTGGTACAGAACATACCAGCCAAACATTCCATGTCTGCAAATGTATGTTTTAAACTCTATTAAGGATCAAAAAAGAACAAAAGGGTGGGGGTTGAGAGGAAGACTTCAAAAACTTTCTGTAGAAGCAATTTTGCTTCTGCGAATGAGAAACCAAAATTTCCTCAAGAAACTCCTTTATTAAGGCCAGAAACAAAGCATCTCTGACTCTTCAGCATGGCCTGCTTTGTTTGTAAGGCTGCACGCTGGAGAAGTGGCCCGGGTGGGGGAATCAGGGGAGGCTGGGGGAGAGTATGATGGTATTCTGTCTTTTCTCGTGTGGTGCACTTGGTTTATTGAAGACCACGAAAGGTAGCGCCCATCAAAATCAAGGATGAACTTTCTGACCTCTCCTCCATCTTCTTTAAAGTCATTTGTTCTGTTTTAATGGTGATCAGGATTGAACCCAGGGCCTTAGCCATGCCCCCAGCTTCCCTCCTTTTGTATACACTCTCTTCTAAAATTAAAAGCCTAACTGTGCTGGGTTGTGGTGGTGCACGCCTTTAATCCCAGCACGCAGGAAGCAGAGGCAGGTGGATCTCTGTGAGTTCAAGGCCAGCCTGGTCTACAGAGTGAGTTCCAGGACAGGTTCCAAAAGCTACAGAGAAACTCTGTCTCGAAAAACAAAACAAACAAAAAGCCTGACTGCCCAGGTAGGGTCTGTGTCTCATGCTACTACTCTAGCAGACCCAGAACCCTGGATTACATAACCTGTGGGTGTTATCTCCTTGAAGAACTTAGATGAACGAATGCTGTACCTTCCTGCTAGCAGTGTGTATCAGTGAGCTGTAATCACGCCACACAAAGTATACAAGCACCAAAGCCTATTTGTGCCGGATACTCCATGATGTTACTGTATTTGACTTCTTGATAACTTGGGTTGCTGCTGGCATCTCTGAGTCCCAGATAGAAATCAGTTCTCATACGCAGTACCTTCTCGAGATGAATGTCTATGCATGAAGTCATGTGATGTCGGGCTGTACCTGACATGGGCCGCACATCCTCCCTGGAACTCAAGAGCCAGTGTCCTTAATTGACTCTGATGGTGTGTGTGTATGCTTTGTTGTGTTGTGTTGTGTTTTTGCTTTTAATGTAGTCTAGGCTGGCCACAAAGTTGCCATGTCACCCAGAGGGCCTTTACTCTGATCTAGCCTCCCCTTTCCAGGCACTGGGATGACAGGCAGCCACCACTATCTCCAGTCTGACCCTGAGTTCATGAACTTGAGATCAATCATTAACACTATTTTAATCACCCCCACCCCTGCCAAACACTTAATTATTCTGTCTGTCATGGATTTCAAATAATTTGCTAAGTGCCCTCAGAATATTCTGGCTGTTCTATTAAAATGATTCTCATATCACTTGGAAATTAGAAATCTCTTCATGTGACATATGACATTTAATTAAAAAAACAAAAAAAATCTCAGTACATAGCCCATACTGCTCTCGAATGTTTGGTCCCCTTGCCTCTGGGATTGCAGGGGTGTACCACCAAGTCTCCTGTTTGGTCAACTTTTCCTGGGCAGACACAAACATTGACCTCCTCCCCCCATACAGTTCCAGAGATAGACCAAAGTAGACCATTCCGCCAAGATTCAACCTTGGGAACCAATGACTTTGCAGGGCTTTCTAACAGAAGCATGGGTGAGGGGGTACTTCCAGCCCTGTGGGTGACCCCCAAATAGCCACATCATTGAAAAGTCTCCCCCCCAATTGCTGCATAGATGACATCATTCATCTACTTAACCTTGCACACATCTCACGGTCCTGGCTGAGGCCACGTGTAGGGTGGATGGAATTAAAGACTGCAGGAAGGGAAGTGTAGGAAGGCCTGGCTGGGATCTCAGGTGTGGGTCTAATGAGTTTCCTCACTGCCTTCTGGGAGGGCGTCCAATGGGCCCAATTACAAGGGCACCTACAAGCAGTCACAGCTGCTTTGATGGACACGCTGTTATGCTCAAAGTGGGTCCCTTGGCTTGTTCTTAACAGTTCACTGGCACTCACAGGTGTCCGTATTGAAATATCTTGCTCACATTCATATGGGCAGGCGTTGGGTTATTTTTTTCTTTTAATCATTTTTTTTTTTTTTTTTTTTTTTTTTTTGGCTTTTCGAGACAGGGTTTCTCTGTGTAGCTTTGTGCCTTTCCTGGAACTCACTTGGTAGCCCAGGCTGGCCTCGAACTCACAGAGATCCGCCTGGCTCTGCCTCCCGAGTGCTGGGATTAAAGGCGTGCGCCACCACCGCCCGGCCTTTTAATCATTCTTAATGGAAAGCAAAACAATTAACAGTCCTGAAAAAAAAAATGCTAGACTCTCTCAGTTCTTAGTTTTAAGCTCTGTGCTTCCAATGGTCAAAATGCTGGGATTTCTCTCAGGTCCTCAGGATCAGTGGCAAATGCCATCGTGCTGGCTCCTCTCCACCATATTTTTTTAGAACAGGACTCATCACTGAACCCGGTCCTGGCCAATCTAGATAGACTGGCCAAAAGCTGGCCCTTTTGGTTAACAGAATCATATGCATGCCAGGCAGGCCTCAAACTCAGCTTGTCTCTGAGGACGACCTGGACATGTCCTTGTCCAGTGTGGTGTGTGGTGCTGGGGATCAGACTCTGGGCTGTACTCCCTGGTTGTACATCTTTGCTGAGCTGCATTCCTAGCTCCTAGACTTAGAAACTTTACATGTTAAAAATCTTTTTTTTAAATGATAAACTCTTTTGTATTTGTCAGAGATTAAGGGGGAAGAGAAAGGGAGAGAGAAAAAACCCATGACATTTTGGTGTGTGTTTAAACATGTCAAAAAGGGGCCTATACAGAAATGTCAGGGTAGGCTGGACCTACAAATGGGTTCTTTTCAGAAGCTAATCTGTAATTTTTGTTTTGTTTGACACAAAGTCTCTCCATATAGCCCTGGCTGTCCTGGAACTCTCTCTGTAGCCCAGGCTGGCCTGAAACTCAGAGGTCCACCTGCATCTGCCTCCCACATGCTGGGATTAAAGGCATGCACCATCACCACTGCCTGGTCGTAAGCGTTTTGTATTTTCAGTATTTTACACAGTTGTCCAGGCAGGTCTTAGTGAAATCCTCCCATCCTAGTCTCCCCAGTGCCAAGGTTATGGCATCAGCCATCAGGCCCACAAAATCCCAGCTTTGCCTTGGGGTTTCATTTTATGGTCTCAGAGCCTTGGTTTCCTTTAAATGGAAGAATTATTGTGAAAACAAAATGGTGCGGAGGGCAAAGAGCAGCAGCCAAGGTGGACAGACTGGATTGTGCCATGGAGAAGCCACAGCCAAGTTCAGGCTGGAGAGTAAGAGGCTACAATTTGAACCTGAGCTGGACCTTTGGTCCCAGTACCTGAGTTCTAGGCCATCCAAGCTTACATAGTGTGAGACCCTGTCTAAAAATAAAAACAGGGGCTAGAGAGATGGCTCAGTGGTTCAGAGTACTTGTTCTTGTTGAGGACCCGGGTTCAATTCCCAGGTTCCACATGGTAGCTCACAACTATCCTTAACCCAGGGTCCAAGGGTCCAAAAGGCATAAATACATGCATGCCAGCCAAACATTTATTCACAGAAAGTAAAATAAATGTAAAAATAAAACCCACCAAAACCCAGCTTGAAACAGTCTAGGGGAGAACCCAAGAGCCACGAAGTCGGATGTGATACTTCCTGATGGTCACTCGTGATGAAATGAGGCCACTCAGCATTTGTTACTGCTTTCCATAGGATGGTGAGATCTCCTGGGGTGATGTGAGGAAGTGCCTTCGCTTAAGGACCCTGCTCCAGGCTCCGCAAGCAAAGCACCAGGAGTCACAGGTCAGGCAGAGACCTAGGCTCTCCGTGCTCTCCCCTCCCTGGTCACTGTGGGCAGTGAGATTAGAATAAGGACAAACAGGAATGAGATGATAACAAGGTCTACTGAAGCCAAACAGGCCACAGGAAGGAGATAATGTGCTCGATGACAAAAAGGGACAGCTGCAGCCGGGCCCAGAAAAGATAGCTGAAAATCTGTGGGAAGCCACCCGGTTGGGGGGTGGGGAGAGTGGGGGGTGTTTTCTATATACACACACACGTTTTCCAGACAGGGTTTCTCTGTCTTGGAACTCACTGTGTAGACCAGGCTAGCTCAACTCTGCCTCCTGAGTGCTGGGATTAAAGGACTGCACCACCAGGCCCATCCCTCTGAAGAAGTCGTTTAAAATACAGAGCATGAGTTAGGGATCTAGCTCAGCAGAGTCCCTGCCTTGCCTAGCATGCACTAAGCCTCGGATTCAAATATAGAGTAAAATGATTTTTAAAAAGGAAGGCACCAGCACATATAAGTACATGTAACTGGACTTACAAGTGACTGGTTATTCAAGATTGTGTGCTTGTTAAAACATAACCAGTTGACTTATCATAGTGACAGAATTGTCAGGCTTGTAATCTCAATTTAATACTTGGACAAGATTTGATTTTTTTTTCATGTGGATATTTATCTGCCAGCTTACCCCCTTAATGCAATCTTATGTCTGAAGACAATGTTGTCACTGGGAAAGCTTTCAGAAGGTGGGCCATGGCAGATAACTGGATGAAGGTCATTTTGCATTTCTGATAGCTAAAACCAGGAGGAGAAAGGAGATGAACAGGAGACCTGAGATTCGCTCGTTAACTGACTTGCTGTCCTTAAGAGAAATGCCCTATATGGACTCAGCTAACAGGCCTATGACCAGGGTTAGACAGATGACCCGGCGCAGGCCTCCCTGCAGTATAAATGTTAAATGTCAAGGTAATACACGTTGTGTCAATGAAAACAGATGCGTTCTCCCAAGAGGTAATATTTGAAAACTTTATTTTCTCAAATGAGCACCAACACAGATCGGAAATGACAAACAATGCTTCTCACTAACACTGAATCATTATGTACAGTTACCAGACAGAGGTGAAGACCATTTACTCAGAAACAATCACCTTTGTTGTTGAAGCAAAGTGACTGGGGGGGGGGGGGGGGATATGCCACTGAAGAAAACCAAACACGCAAAAACAATTCCAAACCCAATGATACAGTTTGTAAACACAGACAGACTGACAGACAAACCTGTGGTATATAAGTCTGCAGGCTGGGGAAAGGGAATTGACTCCCACCTTCACCAGAACACTGTAAAACACTGGGCAGATCTACCCCTGCAGAGACAATCTCTTTCTTGGCTTTATCTTTTATTCTGGTACATTTCATGACTGTATGATAATTTTAAAAATCAATCACGATTTTAAAATCATTCTTTTCCACACACAGAACTAGAATGTTCCATTGAGGCAGGGTTTTTTGTTTTGTTTTTGAAATACAAGTTGTGTTCAAAATTTGATTTGCCAGCCTCTGCCTGAACCCAAAGCAATCTGACCTTAAAAAAAAAAAAAAAAAGCTATTGTTTTATCAACGTCCTTTTAACCTGAACCAGTTAACATTTAATAAGACACGGCTTCTAGAACCACCAGAGCCCGGATGTGTAACTGATCTCACATCTCAGAAGCACAGACTTGACTCTTCACAGGTTCGCTTCGCCAGTTCTAGAAGCAGCAGCGCACAGAGGAAGAGGAACTGGCCACACAGCTCCACCTCAGGGAAGGAAAATCCTGCTTCGTGCTGTTGGTCCACTCAGACATGGAAACCAGGGAGGGAAAACGCTATGTGCCCAAGGTGTAAACTGTAGTTCAGAGTGTCCGCAGTAGAGAAGGAAACAGAAAAATCCAGACTACACACATACTCACTCACTCACACATGATTCCAATTTCTTAGAAGTTCTCCCAACTATAGCAATTACTCCTAAGTTGTTACTACTAAAACTTGTTGTTTCTTTTCTAGCCAAGACTGGGCCAGAAAGTATCAGTTCACAACCTGGTAATTTACTACAGTCTGTTCTACTGGGGAAAAATGCAAACAGAAAAAAATGAAAAAAAAATGTTTTAAAGCCTCAATCCATTTTAAAGTGACAGATCTTTAAAAAAAAAAAAATCTTGATTACTTTTCCCTTAAAATGTACTTCAAGAAACACAGAGGAAGCCATAGAATTGAAAAGTGCTCTCAGGGATCTGAGAATACAGCACCAAATATATTATTTAAAAAATTAAATATTATTTACAAAAGTATACTTCACAAGAGACTGTATACATACTTGGAAATCTATTATAAAGGGGACACTGCCTTTGTACACACTGACCTACCAGAAAGATTTACTTTATCTACATGATTTGACTGTCGTCACAGGTGCTGGGGTGGTACTCAGCCAGGCCCAGCTGTGAGCTTGTGGGCATCAAGCTTGGCTATACTTGACTCATGCGAATTCACCCATCAGCAGCCTAGGGAAATACGGGGGCAGGGGGTGTGGATGTACTCTGGGGGGGGCCCACGGCTCTATCACCCACAGCGGCACAGGAGAGATGGAATGAGTTGGTCAGCTAGTCTTCAGTTCAAAACGAAGGCAGCTGGTGGCTGAGGTACAGAACTTCAGGCCCTTCCCTACTCACCCACCCCTGCCCAAGCTCACCCCATCAACTCTAATTCCCTGAACTCATGTGGGGTGAATGGATGAGGTCTTTGGTTATGCTGAGTCAATCATTTGGTGAGGAAAAGAAAGAACAGACTGACCGACCCAGGCCTTGAGTGCCTGTGTCTCCACTGCTCAGCTGTGGACTCTCTAATACTGCTAAGTGTTAGGCAGACAAGCCACCGATGGAGTTAAGGTCATAAGAAGCACTTTTGGTGTCGCTGTCACAGAGGGAAGCCTAATGAGTTTTGGTCCCACCCCCAAATTAGTTATGGGAAAACTGACATGTTACTCATCTTCTGCACCAAGCATGGTGTGGTGCCGGACACCCACTGGGTCTCAACAGATAGCGGTTCAAGAAAAACCCAGAACCAGGGTCCTACTGCAGCTTGTGCTGACCCAGGATGGTCAAGGACCCCACCCCAAGGAAAAACAGTGGCACACTGTCTCCTTCTCTGACCCTTGAGAACGGCAGGGCATCACATATCCAGGTTCTACGTGTCACTAATTTTAGTTTTTAAAGAAAAAACATCTACCAAGGTTTAACCCCACCCTCTATTAAAAAAAAAGAAAAAGAAAAGAAAAAAGAAATGGATTTGTAGATTAGCTGGGATATTCCCTGAGCAAAGGGTGTATATAATCAAATCCTTAAATGAAGGCTACTTCCCTGGGGCAGGATTGGGGTGGGGGGTGGGGGCGGCATGACTTCAGAGCCTGCAAGCCAGTTTAGGAATGTCAAAGTGGAAAAATGTGTGTCACTGGGAACTTGAGCCTGGGAGCCCCGGGGTGGTTTTTCAGGAAGCAACTCAGTCCTTCTGAGGCTCAGTCGGTCCTGCAGTCCAGAGGGGTAGGGTGGGAGCTTGAGCTAGTGTTCCAAGGCTCTGGACAAGGAGACCTGAGAACAAAATCTCGTTTTTTAGGAACTCTTGTGTCCCAGAAGAGGAGCGCTCCGCTGTTAAACAGAGCTGGCCTGCTTCCTGCCACCCTGCCATCGCCACTAGCAGGACAGGGTAAAGCCTCAGTTCTTCCATTCCCAGATCAGGACATGGGGGACAAAGCCACGTCCACCAGAGCTCTCTCCTGCTGGGAATTTGATTCTGCTGAAGATGAGATTTGGAAAACGTCCTGTACCAGCTGATGTAATCTGGGTTAATCAATTTTACAGATTCTTATCCCCATGAACTCTCTTTTATTTGGCTCTTTTTAAAAGAGGTGAATTTTCCTGTAGGAGCAGCTTAAAGAATGATGTTGAGAATTACCTCATACGCGAGTATTTTAACATCATTTTCTGCCTAAGAAATGAAATTAATGCAAACGAGGCTCGGCCATGAGCCACATAATAGCTGAACTGCCGCAAAACGTTCAGTGCTGATTCAAAGCACTGAGTTCCTTTTCATCTCAGGAGACTTACAGGGATTTTCCTCCCCATCCTTAAAGCAAGGAGGCTGGGGTGGGTGGGTGGGTGGGTGGGGTGAGGGGGCATTATGGAATCTCTAATTCCTGCCACTGCTGGACCACATTGTCAAAAGGTATCCTCCTAAGACATGCAGATCTAACAAGAGAGGCAATGAGGGATGGAATCTTGGATCTTTGTTTCCCAGGTTATGATGGAACTGGAGGGGAAAAAAAAAAAGAACCAAACTATGCACAGAGATCGGCTAACCCCATGCACAGTGGTGAGGGCAGATGTGCCGAGCCAGAGCTGGCTCAAATCTCAGCTGTTCCTCTGCTGCTTCACTCTCACAGAATTGCTGACTAGTTCCCAGTTTTTACTTTTCCTGCTCGCTATCAGGAGCTCCCAGGCGGCAACAAGGGCTCCCTGGCTTCCCTCCATCACCGATTTCAGTGTGGTGTTAGTTAAATGGGACATTTGCATATCTCCCTTCACCTACAACAGCCAAGACCAGGAGGTGATTGCCCAGAGGTGGGGTGGGGGTGGAGGGGGGGCATCGGGGTCACTAAAACCCATTGGGGCTTTACCTATGCCCCCCCTCACCCTAGCAGGACATTCTCCATTTCAGGCCCAGCATGCCGGCTGGGGTCTTGCCCTGTCAGCTAGAATCAGGGCCATTTCTTGTGCTAATCTGCTATCCTGGCACATTTGATGTTAGGACAGAAGTTTGTTGTCAGAGAGAACACAGTCATGAGGTATTTTTTTTCTCTTTGTCTTTTTGAAAAAGTCAATTATTTCAAGCCAGGTCCCCAAGAGAAGGACAGCCTTGTTCTACCCCTACCCTCCTGCCTGCCCCTTCCCCAACCCCAGGACTCTCGGGTTGGTCTTTGCTCTTCCTCATGCCCATGTACCACTGCTCTGACAAGAGGTCATTCATTAGGCAGCTCTCCTATGGGCTGGGGGCCCCTTTCCAAGGTGGACTGCCACCACGCGGCCAAGGATCTGTTCTGTTCTGTATTTTTGTTTTCAGCCAACACTAGAACAGAGAAGCCAAGATCAACTCACAAACAGATACAAAGCAAAGAGACAGAGAGACAGCGATTTAGAGGCCAGTCACCCAAAAAGATGGCGTCAGGGTGGGAGGATGCCCCCTGATGGCAAGGCCCCTAAATGGATGGAACCAATTGTTCAGTCACTCTCTCACGCTTGGGTAGAATGTTCAGTTGGATGGCATTCCTGGGGGTGCTGTCAGGTCAGTCCCAGCCATTGTCCTTGATCATGTGCGCTAGTTCAATGATGTACTTGCCTTCTTTATATTTCTGACTGCTTTCAAAAGCGTGTTCCTGTGGGACAGAGCAAGAGAAAGGACACTGAGTGACCAAGGGCAAACGGGTGGCTGCTACGTAGAGGAAAAGCAAAGCAAATCCACCTGCCCACAGGCATCTGTGGTGGCGGCACTAGACTCCAGCAGAAGAGCCAGTGGTCTGGGTCAGTCTCTAGAACTAACTGCCCTCTAACCAAGTGACCTGCCACTCAATTACAAACTGTCTATAGCCGTGACCCCTTTAGCAAACCTCTGTCTCCAAAGGTATTTATATTATGATTCATAACAGTTATTCCAGTTATGAAGGTAGCAACAAAAATAATTTTAAGGTCAGGCGGGGTGACCACAGCATGAGGAACTGTCTTAAAGGGTCGCTGCATTAGGAGGGTTGGGAACCACCGGTCTATAGGAGTGTTCTGAAAGTCCACAGAAACACTGCAAAGGGTGATCACTATGAGTCAGCAGATGCTTCCCCAACGTCCTATCCTTCCCATCAACAGGGACTGGACCACATTCTCTTCTCCTTCCCCTGATTCTGGGGACCAAACTCAGGGCTGCTAGGAAAGTACTCTACAGTTCTCATTAGCCTTAAGTTTCTAGTCAACAGCTTTTTGTAAAATTCTGTCAGAGCACTGAACCTGAACCTCAAGCAACAAATGAAATCAGCCAACTGGGAGTTTATCTCTCGCCTCTAAACTATATCAACGAACAAAGCAGCCAAACAATCATGAAACAGGAGGAGCGGAACAGTAACACCCCTAGATGATTAGCATCAGAACTGTGGCCACACAGCGGTCCGCACTTGTAAGTCCAGCTCAGGGCAGGCTGAAGAGAAAGGACCCGAGTTGCAGGCCAAGCTGGTCCTTAGCAAGACCTAATCCCACCACCCCACAGTCCCACTGCTCGTAATTTATTTTCCCACAATAAACTTTAATATTTTTCAGAGCTTTTATTAGTTCCACAGCAAGGTTGGGTGGCCAAGATCCTTCTGCCACCACCTCCCAAATACTGCAATTCCAGGGTGCACTACCATGCCCAGGTGCCACTGTATTCATAAGCACTCAAAAAGCTGAGCATGAAGATACATATATAGCCAGCTAAGAGACAGAGCCCAGTCTGGACCTCATTCCAACGCTTCGATGCTATTTAAACACTAGCTGGGGGCTGTGGAAGCACTACCTATGCTTTAGTAGAGACCCACACAAGGGGGGACGCCAGCCCCCGGTGTATTGTCTGTCGGCTGACTGGCTGTTCACTTTGTGTTTGTTGAGACAGGGTCTCACGTGGTCCATCTGGGTCTCTAACACAACAATCTACCTGCTCCAAGCTCTTAAGTGCAGGGATTACAAGTGTGCAGGACCAGGTTTAGATAGCCAGTGCTTTTAATTATTTTTGTGTATATGTGCATCTGTTTGTGTGGTGGGGGTGGGGGTGTTGGGGGGTGGAGGTGGGGGAGAGGGAAGGAGAGGGGGGTGGGAGGGAGGGAGGATGTGTGTTAGCCACAGGTTAACGTCAGGTGTCTTTCTCAGTTGTTTTTTGAGACAGTCTCCCATGGACCCCAAAGCTCACCGATCCCAAGTATTCTCCTGGTTTATACATCGCTACCGAGTGATGGGATTACAAATGGGTCGCCGCACCAGCTTTTTCCACGGGTGCCGGGGATCAGAACTCAGGTCCTCACGCTTGTGGGCAAGCGCTCTGCTGACTGAGCCATCCTCCCGGGGTTGTTACACAACACGCCCCTACCACACAGGAAGCTGTCAGAAGATGTTACAAAGTCCTGTTTTTATAAAAGTATACGTGTAGGTCGGGGATTTAGCTCAGTGGTAGAGCGCTTGTCTAGCAAGTGCAAGGCCCTGGGTTTGGTCCTCAGCTCAAGGGGGGAGAAAATACACACACACACACACACACACAGGAGTGTTTCCAGGACAGGTGAATGGGTGAGCATGGAGGAGTCAGTCTCTTGTCATGGTCAAAGGTAAGAAGAGCCCAGGGCTGAGGGAAGCGGTTTGGAAGAGAGCATCCCTCAGACAGGAGGCCCTTCCTTTGCTATGGCTCCCAGCCCCCTCCCACCCAGGCTCTTTTGTACTTACGTATTTCCAGCCCAAAGTGGTTTTGCAGTTTTCACAGTAAATGTCTGCAACTGCATGGAGTCCTGTTAGCAACACCCGCTCTTCTGCAGGCCCACAGCCCACGTTAACTCTACGCCAAAGACAGAGAGAGCGGATAGTTAGTCATAAACAACCATTAGTCACTCCAGTTGGCAAAAGCTGACTGGACAAGGCTGCTCCCAGGGAAGCCAGCATTTGGAAGAAGCTGGTCTAAAACGGAAAAACATCCATCCCCTCAAAGGTAGCCACATGGAAATACCTCAGTGGGAATGAATTCTTGATCTGCAAGATTAAATTCTGTAGGTTTACCAAAATAGCCCTGGATGACAGTTTGCTAAGGATTTAAATTTTCTGGCACAAGTTTTTAATCTTGTAACTAAAAAAAAAAATGGTATTGCATTTACTTGTTGGGGGTACACATGGATGCTATGGTGCATGTGTGCAGGCGAGGACAACTTTGTGAGTGGGTTCTCTCCTACAAGGACTTCCAGGGATCCAACAGCCTTCAGCTGCTCACTCACTCATCTGTCCTGCCCTCGTCTGCTAACTACACAGTGAAGTACACAGCCTTGAGACATCCTTAAAGGTCACAGAGCACTGGATGGTGCCTAAGATGTCGAACAAGACCACGTGTTTTAGTCCTTATCGTAAGGGTGAGTGAGCCTTGAGTATCAAACATGCTATTCTCCTTCACAGAACACCTGTTTCGAGCTGTGCTAGATTTCCTATGTTCATCAAGTGTCTGTGAGCTTTGCCTCCTTATTCCAGGCAGGGGCTATGAATGTGTCCATGGTTGACAACGGGCTGTGTAGACATCCTCTGGAGGAGGGATGAGGCTCTCTCTTCCCCTCACCATGGGTTCTTTTCACCCCTGCTTTCTACCCCCAATCACAAATCTCAGGTCTGGCTGATTTCTATGCTGAAGGTCTGGCAGAAGCCCCTCAACGTCTGTCTGTCTTCTATGTGGGAAGACCCAGTGCTGGAGCACAGTACTGGGTACATATATTTGGTTGGAGGGGCTGCCAATAAAATTTCCCCTAAGTTAACTGACACTGACTGCTAGGGAATGCCCCTCAATATTACTAAGGCAGAGGTCACTGACGAATCGCTGAGAAGTACGTTCCCTGCCCCTCAAGAATTTCACCCAATAAATAAGATGCTCCATTCAGAGACACTCACACTGAGTTAAAGAGGTATGCTCGTCCTTGACTTCCCTGGAACGACTGAAATACAAGAAAACAAATCAATCGTTAGACATCCGGGTCTCCTATGGCCATTCGGGAGACAGACCCCAAATACTGACAAGCCTGACCTTCTATGCAAAAGGCAAGGAGTCTAGCCAGCAGGAGGCATGTGGGGGGAGGGGAGGGCAGAACAAATGTTCAACAGAAATCAAGCCAGTCCACACGTGGGCTATTTTTACCAGCTCAGGTGAGATGAGGGACAGGGGTCCAGGTTCCAAGAAAGCAGCCAGGCCGGTGTGCTGGTGCAGCCTGGAGTACCAGCACTAACATGGGGTACACCGAGAAACACGATCTTTATTTAACAACGACACAACTCCAAGTAACTAGATACCCCTCCGTTCTTGACATTGCCTGACAGTGAATTCACGAAGAGGATTAATCCACACCAGGTTTCCTGGTTCAACCTGGTGTCAGCCACCTGTGCTAGCCATGGCTTCACGGTGGCTAGGCACGGGAAGCCAGTGGGGACACATTTGTCCTCTTCTCACTGCTCAGATCCCAGCATCAGAACTTGTACTCATCTCACCTGGCTCTGGTCAATTCTACCTGCCACAGCAGTTCGGGCTCTGAGGGGGAGTCTAGGGCTCCACTTCTGGTGTGTAAGTGGCTTGGTCTCTAGGTCTCAAGAGACGCTTACCCAGCAGTCCAGCAGAAGTCTCGTTTCAACCTCTAGCTAGGTCTGCCTTCTGATGAGTGGCAGAGGGACCGGGGATGGGACAGAAAGGAGCCAGAGCTTGCCACGCACTCTGGCGTCTACTTCCATCCGCACAGGCCTTGCCCGTGGTTCCCCTCTCCAGTTTCACCGAGCTCTCTGGCTGACATGAGCCCGTCATGTTCTGTATTGCTGCTTACATTTTTAATGTGGTATGACAACTGTATCCGAATTTAACTTCCTAGTCAGCTCGGGGGGGGGTGGGGGGTGGAGTATAAAAACAGACAAGGAAACAAGGAACTCTGAAGAAATCTGGGGCATCTACTTGACAGATGACTAGAAGAGGACCCAACGGCTCAGATCACTGTGCCGAAGACGGCCATTTCGTCAGAAGTACAGGTCTTTGGAAGTTGGTGCCATTGGCCAGAGAAAGGCAGAGTTCCTGTGGAGAAGCTGCTACTGAACAGCTGGATAGTTGGATGCCTTCCTGCCCAGGTGCAACTCAAGGAGCAAGCAGATGTTCCCCAGCTGCTGCCCATCCCAGGGAGCATAAGACCTCCCAGGCACAACGAAGCTGCTCTGGGTATCATGGCCTCAACACTGAACACAGAGGTCCCAGTGACACAGCCTAGACTTTCCACAAACTGCCCAGGGAACAAAACCTGCCTACTCGGTCAGTGGCCTCTTCTCTTGCTACTTCGCCACTGTGCCCTGGACTCTAGCCCACGCCCAACCACACTCAATAGTTAATGTCCCCAGCTTTGCCCACCCTGTTTTCTGACCTTCCCAGGAAGACTTACCACCAACACCTGTGATCTGGACTCTTAGCCCCTTCTTGGCATCTGGATTTAATTTTTTAAAATCAAACTCCTTCAACTATGCTCTGAGTCTTAGAAGACATGACTCACATCTTTACGCCTCTCTGAACCCCCAGAACACAGCATGTGAATCTGGCACATAATGATTGCTCATTTTATTTTGCAGAGTCTCACTATGTAGGCCAGACTGGCCTTGAACTCCCAGTAATCCTACTTCAGCCGCCAAAGCTGATAGGATCATGGGTATGAGCCATTACATCCAGTACATCAGCATATATTAAATACTACAGTGTACCGCCTCTGTATTTCTTTTCTTTAAATACTATTGGGGTGCACTAGTTCATGAGTTCTGATATCTGTATGCCTGTGAAGCCATCACCACAATCAAGATTAAGGATAATCACCAGACCTGGTGGCACTAATTTATATATAGCATTTCAGAAAACCAGTTTTTGTTTTTGTTTTGAGGCAGGATCTCACTATACATATATTTATCCCTGGCTGGCCTAGAACTCACTATGTATACTAGGCTGGCCCATCTCTGCCCGGGACTAAAGTCATGAACCACCACATAATTCACATAAATTTTTTTTTTTTTTTTTTTTTTTTTTTTTGGTTTTTCGAGACAGGGTTTCTCTGTGTAGCTTTGCGCCTGTCCTGGAACTCACTTGGTAGCCCAGGCTGGCCTCGAACTCACAGAGATCCGCCTGACTCTGCCTCCCGAGTGCTGGGATTAAAGGCGTGTGCCACCACCGCCCGGCTTAATTCACATAAATTTTTATATGAAACTCACTGCTGTTTCTCCACCGTATCACGTGCCTTTCTTCACATATTCTAGAAATACAACACCCCCTTACCAAATAGCCAGTTATTAAATGCAGATTTACTCTATGATCTCAGAACATCATTCAGCATCTATCTGTAAAAACAGTCTGATTATGGGCAGATGTGCATTTTCTTTAGGGAAAGTAGAATGCTAGGATTAAGGACACCTGCCACTACACCTCACTCACATCTGTTAGTTGAGGCCAACCTGGTCTACCTAAGAGTGATCCAGGCTAGCCAGGGTGACAGTGAGACAAAAACAAAGAACAGAGATCCCTGACTATCCATCATCCCTCAGGATTTCCTTGGGTCTCCGAGTCTCCCTTCCCTCTTCTCTGTGCCCCTTTCTCAATAATGGCTCCATGGGTAATCAGTGCTGTCACACACTATGCAGTATTGTTTGTTTGGCTTCTTTTACTCAGAATTATTTTTAAAATCTTAAGATGCATTTTATTTATGAGTATGTATCTAAGTTGATGCCCGGAGGTCAGGAGAGGGTGCTGACCTCCAGGAGCTAGAGTTAGAGATGGTTGTGAGCCATCTGACATGGGAACTGAACCCAGATCCTTGGTCAGAGGAACAAATACTCTCAGTCATGGAGCCATCCCTCCAGCCTCTAGCACGGTTCACTTTAGGAATTGCCCAGGTTGTTTTACAACCAGCCGATTCCTTTTCTTTCCTTTGTGCTGGAGTTCTGTATACAAAACCCAGGCTTGCCACAAACTCACTGCACAGCAGCTGTCTGTCCTTCCTCCTGCCTCCAGCTCTCAGGGGCTGAGACTGCAGCAGGCCCGCACTCTTCCCATGCTTTTGTGTTTTGAGCATGCTCAGAGAAGCCAGGCATGGTGGTACATGCTTTAACCCGGCAGGTGGGTATGTAGGGGGGTCTGAGGCCAGCCGTAGCTCCAAAGCAAGACCCTGTGTCAAGCAACCAGACAAAAAGATCAGAGAGGGTAATAGGGCAAAACAACTAGTAGTCAGCATGTAAACTTATGAAACGGTCAAACAATAAAATCGCCAATAAAATAACATTAAAAGCAACAGATTTGCCGGGCGGTGGTGGCGCACGCCTTTAATCCCAGCACTTGGGAGGCAGAGCCAGGCGGATCTCTGTGAGTTCGAGGCCAGCCTGGTCTACAAAGTGAGTTCCAGGAAAGGCGCAAAGCTACACAGAGAAACCCTGTCTTGAAAAACCAAAAAAACCAAAAAAACCAAAAAACAAAAAACAACAACAAAAAAAAAACAGATTCCTTTTTCTGTTGTTTTGTTTTGTTTTTTAGTTTTTTTCGAGTCAGGGTTTCTCTGTGTAGCTTTGCACCTTTCCTGGAACTCACTCTGTAGCCCAGGCTGGCCTCGAACTCACAAAGATCTGCCTGCCTCTGCCTCCCGAGTGCTGGGATTAAAGGCGTGCGCCAACACTGCCCAGCCCATAAAAAAATTTTTTTAAAGCTCTACTTGTGTATTTTATGTATACAAGTGTTTTGTCTGCATGTCTGCACACCAGAAGAGGACACTGGATCATGCACTGCCGTGTGGCTGCTGAGAATTGAACTCAGAACCTCTGGAAGAGCAGTCAGTGCTTTTAACCACTGAGCCCTCTCTCCAGGCCGCACATGAAGTTCTTACAGTTCACAACATTTACACTTTATAGCAGTACATTCATGCACACCATGAATATGTATAGTAAACTTATGCTCGAGCATTTCTAAAAGGGCACCGCACTAGGAATACCCATCTGCTTCAGGGCACTGCCTGAAGTAACTACTTTGAGCCTGACACAGATTAAAATTCCTAGAGAGCAGGGGCTGTGGGGTAGGATGCCTGGCAAAGAAAATAATCTCCTTAGGCTCAAAGGTGGCTCACAGGTATGCCAGGACAGATCCTCCAGACATGTGTGGTGAGAGTACGCTGGCGGAAGTCCAGGCCCTACCAAGGGGTGCTGGACCCAAGCAGGGCTGTCCTGGTGGGAATATGACTTCAGGTACGCCCGTCTGTTTCCTCAGCCTGGCACTCACAGCTAGCCGCAGTTTCTGAGGCAGAAGTCTGGACGCTCTTCTACCGTGGCTTCTACCACCCCAGGGACCCTGCCAACTCAACATTTATGATGAGAAAAACAGACAATGAGAACAACAGGCTTCTTGCAAATAGACACAGACAAGAATAGCCCGGCTGGGTCACTGTATTCTGTGGGGCCCGGCCCAGCCCAGCCCAGCCCAGCACAACCTGGCACAGCCTGGTGTTCCCTTGGGTGAGGGTGGTTCTGAAGGTGGGGAAGCTGAAGGGGAGCTAAGGAAGCAATTAAAATGAGGCAGAGAGAGCCGAGAGCAGGAGATGCCAGACTGTCAAACACATTTGTTTGCTATCATTACTGCCAGGCAACAAGGCGGTTCTTTTCCGTGTTGTGTATCAACCAAGGCTGGTGTGCAGGCCTCCACCAAAGGCTTTGTTTGGTTTCATTCTGTCTTCAAGCCATACAAAACTTTTCTTCTGTCCTATAAAGTACAGTACCAGTTACGGGCCCAGCCCTTCCAGCCAGCTCAAAGAAACAGAAAGGGCTTTGAGTTTCCTGTTTAGTAGCCAAAACCACTCACTTCTGGCCCTGCTGGAAGTCTGGAAGGCAGGCAACTCCTTTGTAAAGCAGGAGAACTGCTGCAGCTGGGTGTGGTGGTGCATGCCTGTAACCC